CAACAGAAAATAATCATCAAGAATGACTCAATTTAATAAGAAATGTAATTTTTATTATAGAGTTAAATTTTTTCATTACTGAATAAATAATTGTTGGCACATAAACTGCTAACTTACACTGTATTGAAGAACTTAAACATTAAAGAACTCAAGCTTTAAATACTAATTACTTTAAATAATATTTTTTAAAACATAAGTGTTTTACCATGGAGTAGGGGCATTAACATGAGGTATTCCTTAACAGGAATTGGCAAAAGCAATAACACTTAGCCAAGTGTGGCTAGAAAACATCTGATTTAGCTGCTTGTTTTATTTTTTAAATTTTTACAAGTGTTCATTTGAGCCAAACTGAAGACCTATGCTGAGGAGCAAGATCTCAAATGCTGCTGCTTTTGTTGTCAAGTTTTTGTCTTCTTTCTTCTGTTCTGCACTAAAATGGTCACTTTTTCGTACCAACTTTATAAGTGATTCTCTACAAAAACCACTCAAATCAGATTTTTTAAAAAATCTTTATTGTTGAAAGTATTACATATGCCCCCTTTTCTCCACATTGACCTCTTCTAGCCCGCTCCCACCCCCTCCCCAGGCCTTCGCCACCCTATTGTCTGTGTCCATGGGTTATGCATATATGCAAACAAGTTCTTTGGTTGATCTCTTCCCACCCACCCACCCCCACCTTCCCTCTGAGATCCGACAGTCTGTTCCATGCTTCTATGTCTCTGGATCTATTTCAACATCAGATTTTAAAAATGAGTTCTCATAAACTGATTTCAAAGAATGCTTTTCTCCCTTCAAATACATTCTTCAAAATGCCTGGCACTGATTGATTCGTGCAGCAAATGTGTTTCCCACACTAAAAGGGCCCGCAGCTGATAGACTTTCTATTTGTACATCTCTGCAGCTTCCCACCTCCTTTCTTTGGCTCCTCTCTGATTTCAGGCTTTTGGATTGTTGCCCATGTTACTGCATAGACTCAGAGACCTATGCTACTGTGATTGATTTGGGATGGAAAAGAGCTTTCCTGTTTGAGTACAATCCCAAAATACCCTTCAACTCCAGTGTAGACACAGGGTCTATCTAACCTCATTGGCTATACAAGTTCCAAATTTCTTAGTTAATTGCCATGAATAAATGGGTTCCATGAGGGTAAGAATTATGTCATTTTAAGAAATAAAAAATTGTTTACATCTCCTCTAGAGAATCTATCATTTAAAAATGCTAATGTCCTCAGAGTTAGTGATAATACTTTAATAAAGAAACACTGCTAAGTTCTTGAGTACTGGCAAATATTAGGTATCAACATGTGATATAGGGATTCAAGCATGGTGCCCATGCATTATATTGATAAGCGAGAACTATGTGCTCAGAATTCATTGTTATAGATGGAGAATTACATGGTTAATCATTAAGAATTTTCCCGGCTGGCATGGCTCGGTGGTTGAGCAATGACCTGTGAACCAGGAGGTCACGGTTTGATTATGAGTCAGGGCACATGCCCAGGTTGTGGGCTCAATCCTCAGTAAGGGTCATGCAGGGGGCAGCTGATCAATGATTCTCTCTCATCATTAATGTTTCTATCTCCCTCTCCCTCTCCCTTCCTCTCTGAAATCAATAAAAATATTTTTAAAAAACAATTTATTGAATACTTATTTAATCTATAACAATTCTATGGGTCTAAAACAAAAAAGTTTTTTGTTTAAGTGAAACTAATGTTTACTGAAAGTAAGACCACTTTTTCAGGAGCTGAATTTTGTTGACAAAGTTATTGAGCAATAGAATAAAAAGTTTTATGATTGTTCTTTTTTAAATGTTCTAACTTCATGTCTAAACTTAAAAATAGCACCCTATCTTCCACCCTTGCTTCCTTCCCTCCCTCTAATAAATAATGCCCCTCTTTCCTAAGCTGCAAATGATGAATACTGAGGGAGGCTGCTAATTAGCTATAATTCCCAACTTGTCTGTGATAGGTTGGTGATGGTATCAGAAGATCATCTTTACCTGAACTTTAATTCAGGGGGGAAAAATAATTACTTACAGAGATGAAAGATTTGAAATAGTTGATTATACATCACCAAGTAAAATATAATTGTAAATATCTAAATAATCTAGAAGTCAGTAAGAAAGCCCACCAAAACAGTGGCATCTGGGCACTTAAATTTTCCTACGATATGGGAATTTTCATGCAATTCAAGAAAAAAATGTAATGTTCTTAAATGTTTTCATAAGACTTCTTATAGTGTCTATATTTTATTATCACAAGCCCCTCTTTATTCCAGTTTACAACTACTTTTTTCTTACCACATACAAGATCTGCAGGAAATTTGATCATTTCGACCTTTGGATTTTAACAATCAAGTGTGAGACTAATCAAGAAAGGAAATGGTGTGGAGATGTTACAGATCAAGCCTCTCTGGTTCAAATCATTTAAAATGTTAACTCTGACAGTTGGAAAATCTTACTCAGAAAAAAATGCGTCTGCAGCATGTTTGATTACAAAACCTAAGAAGCATGAGCCTCTTCCAAAGTGAGAATGACACACTCTCCATTTCATCCTTTACAGAACTGCCTCTATTGTGAATCGCTTTATCGTCTCATCTCTGAAGCTTGCCAGACACATTCTTTAACCATGAATTCACATTTCTTTCCTCTGAAGGACACCTCGGGATCTGTAACCTTTTGAGTGAGTGTGGGAAGTGGGGAAGGAGACAATAGCGTCCACCTGGGGTTGCGGAATGAAGGCAACCACAGAGGAATGAAGGCAGCCACAGAGCAGAACGAGAACGCTTGGGTTCTCTTGGCCTCTGCGTTCCCTGTTTCTGTGTAGCGGGTCACTCTTGGGAAATATTTACTCACCTGAAATTCCAAGAAATGAAAAGCCCCTCAGCTGTTTTAGAGCTCTGTCATTAAACACATGAATGTTCCATCCTGCCAGTATAAGAAAACCAGCAGAGCCAGATTGGGGTCTGAAATCCTTTTCAGAAATGCTGCCATCGTGTGGCACTTTGGAGACATACCCGACCGGAAGAGGCCCAGGCTGGGTCATATGGTTCATCTCAGGATGGCTGGGCTCCAGCGACATCTATTCCTATCACTCTCTAAGTTCATATTAACTCATTTCCGTGGGCACAGGGTAAACCATTGCGAATCCTTTGGAAATCTCCTTGTTTTTAGAACTGGTGAACTTCCCCCTACTAAATTGACAATATGACTAACTTATGTGGGTAATGTGTCTAAAGAGAAAAAACAACACGTTTTAAAAGCGGAAATAAGAAACCTGTTTTGCAATTTTTTAACCTGCAAGTCATATTTTATAGAGATAGCTGCCATCTGAATTATTAAAATGTGTGCGTAGAACCCACAAATCAATAATATTAATTCACTTGGAATGCATCCCATTTAAAAGAGACATATTTCCCCAACACCCACCAAATGTTCATAAAACCTATGGATTAGTTATACTGCTAACACTGCAAGAAATTATTTAATCCGTATTTATATTAAAAGCAATATTCAGTAAAGAGAAGCTGACACCTTAGATATAACTAATATTAAAAGAAGTCGTTTATTTTTAATCTCACTTCACACGAATCTTACAATGACGACAGGAGGTAAATGAACAGTGCAATTTCCATTTCACAGCAGAGAAAGCTAAATGGAGAGATTAAGGACATAATTTAAAGACAATATTAAATATTTTGAATGGACTCAGAGCTCTGCTAATTTCTGTTCCAATATTCAGACTCCATCTGCGATTTTTCTTTCACTCAAATACCTTTTAATTACCCAGAAAAGTGTTAAATATGTATTTTTTACATCTTCTTATTAAGTCATCAACTTCATATATCCTGAGAGAAAAACTAGAAAAAGATGATTCAGAAATCTAACCCATCCCTTTAAAGGTGTGTAAATTAAACTAGTGATGTACGCAACTTAAAGATCTTACATCTAGTCTCATTCTAATAACCCATTTCATCTAAAGACACTGCAAATCACGAGGACTTGCTGCTCCTACATTTCAGTCACAGTTTACACAAGCAGTGTTTAAAATACGCATATAATATGTGCCAAGTGTTTTTGTTTTCCACAGACTGATTTATTTAAGCCTCTCAAAACCCCTATGAGCTAGGTAACAGTATGTGCATGTGACAGATGAGGAAGCAGGTGTAGGTCGACTGAGGTCACACAGCTATTGAGCGGCAGAGTGGGATTCAAAGCTGCTCTCTGGCTCCCGAAGCAACACTCTCAAGCAATCACCCTGCTCTCAGAAACCACTTTACTTCTGTAGCATCTAAAGTAAATTGCCTCTCTTTTATGTAACAAGTTATCAGATTAATCACCTTTAATCAATTCGAACAGTGTAACAAAAATCCACGTCCTTGTAAGGTCATTGTAAGTCCAACTTCGTGGGCATGAACATGGACTTTCATGTTTCTAATAATGCCATTTTTCTAAATGACAAGCTGTTTCAGACTTGACATCACAAAACCAAGCATGAGACTAAAGGATGGAGGCAGGATATCTGAGACCTTTGTACGCCTGAACAACAGCCTTGCAGCTCTTAAATAAATACAATTGTGGGGAAAATCTAGTTGCACGTATTACCTTAATCTCTTTTTCAAATGGAAAGAAATAAAACCCATTCTATTTAATTTTATTTAGGACTGATTTTATATTAACAATTTTTCTCCTAATTCAGAAATTATAAAATCTGTGTAAGAACTAGTCATCCCCCCCCCCTTTTTTTAATGGGACTCCAAGGTGCCCTTTCATTATGCTGAATGTCATTCCCATAAATGAAAATGCCGGCTAATGATATTGTAGAGAAGTAATGGTTTAACTCTGGAGTGTGTGTGTGTGTGTGTGTGTGTGTACCACAAAACCAGAGGGGGAAGTGTGGGAGCAAGTGGGTTGGGCAGTGGCAAAAAACCTCATGACAAATCTCTCCGCCTCCCTGTGTTGGGGGGAGGGAGGGTGTCTGAGCAGCATTTAAATACTGGGAGGTCCTGGTTGTCAGCAGCAAGAGGAGGAGACATCGAGTGCAGCACCATCTGGGACTGGACTCTCCTCTCAGACCAGTGGCAGCCTTCTCAGCCAGCAGCAGACCGAGGTAAGCCTGCAGTGTGCTCTCCTGCTGCTGCTGTCCTATACATGCAGTTCTGTTCATGGGGAAGGTCAAGTTGTAAGGCAAAGAGCGTCACTGTAATGCTGTTCATCATATTTTAAGTTGTTTTAGTCTTTTGAATAAGCCTGCTAGATACATAGCAGATCTCCTGCAGACCAGCTATTTTGAAAGCCAGTCAATATAAAACTTAAAAATCCTTCCATTTAGTCCTCAAAAGAAATGATACTATCTCTTCCAATTAGAAAAAAAAGAAAAAGGTACGACTCTATGCCCCTGGGGGATGATTATACCCATATCTTTTTAAATGGATAGATGATTGTGGAGGCATTTCAAAGGAAAAGTATCTTCAGTGCTAATATAAGCTAATGATAATGCTGTTTTTAATTATTTGATTTATACTATTTTCAAGGGGGAAAGTTTCTGAATTTTTTTTTTTACTTCTCTGTATTTACCTATTAAAATTTTCACCAAAAACTTGTATGACATTATGTAGACTTATTGCAAATTTTAAAAAGCTGTTGATTATTTTCAATGTTTCCCTTTTTGTTTCAAATTTCTAGAATAACTTATTTTCTAGAATAACTAATTTTAGAAATAGCTTTATTTCACCCAAGTAGCATCTTTTTAATAATTTAAGTTAAAAATCATATTTGAAATGCATGCTGAAAAAATGGAGAAAGCACATTTCTTTCATAGTTTTATCACTTTTTGTGTTTTTCTTCTCTGAAAAGTAAAAGTCCCACACTATCTTATTATTTTAATTCATTTACTGTTGGTCTGTGCTTAGGTTTAGACAGCTGGCAGTGTCAGGAACTAATGGTGTGATCTCTGGAACTCTCAATTTAAAAGTTGAATAAATATAGACTTGTAAACTTCTTCTCTCCCTTGCCCAATAGGGAAAGATGAAGAATAGAGAGAGGTAGCATTACAAATATTAATTCAAAAGGACCATAATATTAAAAAGAAAAAGTTCCTCTAGGAAGTAGAACATATTCTACAGAAAATGTATTTTATTTATGATTATTTTGAAATATGGTAGAATAATAAGGTATCACTGTTTTAACCTGTGAAGAGGTCAAATATTCATTACAAAATATTTTGCAGGAAAAATCACCACCATGAGAATTGCAGTGATTTGCTTCTGCTTATTAGGCATCGCCTACGCCCTTCCAGTGAGTACAGCTGAATCTTAAGGAAAATTTCTCAAAATCAATTAATTGGATGCCCCCATGTGCTGGGCACACATTCACATTGTAATCTTTCTTCATCTTTTCTGTTTCAAAGGTTAAACATGCTGATTCTGGAAGCTCTGAGGAAAGGCAGGTAAGCATCTTTTAGATTTAGCATAGAATTAAATTATTTATGCAGCTGTTTCAGGAACACTACAAACATATCTGTTGTAATTTTACTTATTATCAGAGTCAAGACTTTTAATTTATAAGTAATTGACTGCCTGTCAACTTAGGCTAGTGCCAAGCACAGCATAATTTTTAACAAATATATGTTCCACACACTGAACTATATTTTTTGTATACTAAAATAATGTTCCATGCCATTATTACTTATGTAAAATTAGTTCTCTGAAATTGCATGACTTTTTTTCCCCACGAGTCAACATACTGTTCTAGAAGTAGAAAATCCCACCCTTTTTTTAACTTAGTGGAAGGCATAATTTAAAATGGGCCTCACGTATTGGACAGTTTACATAACTGCAATATTCACAGTATGTCCTAAGATATTTGCCAAGAAGCCTATTATAAAAAGAAAGTCTATTTATGTTATTTGTATCCATTATCCTTTTTCTTTTCTTTTTTCTGGGAGAGAGAACAGGTGAGGGGTGTATCCATTATTCTTGTCAGCTGACTTTAGATCACAGTTCTCTAACCAAGCTTAAGGCCAAATCAAACTCTTTATTATAATTATTTGACCAGCGCCATAGAGGTAGGTACCTGCCCCTCCACAATAGGTGAAACTGTGCCAGGCAAACAACAAATGGGCATTGTCCCGAGGAGCCTGGACAAAAAGACACAGGGTTCGATTCAGACGAACAGAATTAAGGCCAATGTAGAGTTTCCTGGAGTCACGGTAATTAGATTGCTTAATGAAGACACTAAGAGAGGTATTGTTGCATGTGGTTGAGTGTGCAAGTATGTGTGCGTAGGTGTGTCTGTTTTCCAAGTGATTTAAGAACACAAGTATTGTTTGAATTACAATAAGCCAGAAAAGCAAGTGATTTAAGAACACAAGTATTGTTTGAATTACAACAATAAGCCAGAAAAATTAACATTTTCAGAGAAGAGAGAGGTCACACTATTGAAGCAAAAAAATAATGTCTTTTTAATAAAAAATATATATGACACATGAAGCCATGGCAGTATAAGTTATTAAATGATATTTAGGAGATGAGTGAAGAGCTCAACCTACTAGCATCCTAGACACGAGACCTAGTAGGAAATATGGAGTCTGTAGGGAGACACCTGTGAAGATGAACACTGGGTATCTGTGAGGGTTACTACTACTGGGTGGATTTTAGTCTATTTTGCTTAGCTTTATTTTCTTCATATTACTTTTATAAATTATAAATTTAACCTACAAATACATCCTCCCTAAACCTGTATTACATGTATCATCAGGAAATAGACATATTTGTAAAATATATAGTATAACATATTTCTATATAATACTTACAGAAATACATTTTTTAAAGAAAGAGGGAAACTTTGAACTCATCTAGACCAGTAGTTTTTCGTACCTTTTTAAAGCAAAAGTTTCATAGAAGCCCAACCTGAAGCTGCTCTGGCTACAGCCAGCCATGGAGAAGTGCAAAGTGATGACTGGTTTCCTCCCTTCTCTCCTCCCCCCAAACCCCCAACCACCTTGGTGGCTGCAGACAGAACTCTGTGGAACCTCAGGGTTCTCGTTCTCATTGACTTCCACGGGTAATACAGCCCATCCGATGACATGCATTCAGAGCAATTTCCACTCCTCTGTACTAGCATATCATCATCATTGTCCAAATAAATAACTTGGCTAAAAGGCAGAGGACATTCCATTCATGTCTTTGGCACCCTAGAGCAATAGAACTTTGGTGAGATGATGTTAATATTTTTTTCTTCACCCTCCACTAAGATAGCCACTAGACTCATGAGGCTATTCAACATTTAAACTGTAGCTAGTGCAACTGAGAAACTGAAATTCTCATTTAATTTTAATTAAATTTAAATAGCCACATAGTAGAGGAGACCTTGAAGATCAGTGCTCATTAAGGGCACCTCTGTTTTAGTTGTACTTTATCTGAGAGGAAATTTCAGCTAGAAAACATAGAACAGGGAAGCACAGTGTTAAGATCAGTGTGGAGAGCCAGTGTGATGGATTTGAACCTTGACTCTTAACTTCACTGCGGCTTAATTTCTCCTGATCTGCAACATGGAAGCAAGAATGATATCAATCTCATAGGGGGTTGAGAGGATTAAATGAATGAAAACATGTAAACACATTGGAAGGTGCCTGGCCCACAGTAGGTGCTATGTAAGAGTTTATTAAGTGAATCTGAAAGAAAAAATAGGTTAGAAAAGGGATGTCTAAGGCTCTGGTTGAATGTATATATGCATATTACTCTTATCCGTCAGTATTGGTGAAGTATAGTTGCTTTTTAAGCATATCACTTAGAGATCTTTATGTTTCTTTTTTTTTAAATAATGACAAATATGCAACTTTTTTGTAGCTTTACAACAAACACCCAGATGCTGTAGCCACATGGTTAAAGCCTGACCCATCTCAGAAGCAGAGTCTCCTAGCACCACAGGTATTTTTAATTTTAATTATTTTCAAAAGTGATGTGTCTTGCAATTAAAGAACAACAACAAAAAATATATAGCCACCAACCAGACCACTGGGCTGGTTAAGTAGATCCTCATGCCTGTTAGCAAATGCAATTCTAGGACATCAACTAATCTGACATGTTGAGTCTTTCCCCTTTAAGTCATTCACCAACAAGGCTGAAAAATAAGACCTGCTTTGGATGGAAAGAGCTAACTTTAGAATAAAAAGGTTAAGCATGTGTGCTATATACTAATATGCCTTTCCTTCTTCAGAATACGGTATCCTCTGAAGAAACTGATGACTTCAAACAAGAGGTGAGTTCCCACTTTGAAGCAGAGGCCGACCATGCCATGGAGAGACAATGAAGCCACTCTTTCTCCTAATGACATTTCCTGAGTTTGATTCTAACAAAATTCCATGAACAAATTTTCCAGTAAACTGCCAGTCTAACACCAGAAGAAAATATGTATTTACTAAATGCTTTAATACCAGATTTTTTCTGATAAGTTTAGTGTGGCAGGAAATGTTTACTAATGTCTGTTATTTGAAATGCTAAACCTCTTGCAATTGATTTAAGGTATTTTATAGATGTCTTATCTACTATCTGACACGCATCTAATAAATAACTATAAACCCAAGATTTTGCCTCTAGGAACATTTCTGTTCCTAACATAATGGTTTATTTGATAACTATTATAGGGCTGTTAATGAGGACTTTTTATTAGGACCAGCAATATATGTGCTAAGCAAAGAAAAAAGTTTGTTTTCCTTAAAATTCTGTTTGAATATGCTAAGATTTGCTAGCAACAAAAGTTAGATAAATGACCCAGTATATTTGCTAATTGGAAGTTTAATAGACATTAACTGGCTAATTCAATTGACAGATCTGAGCTGTACTTTATACACATGCATAACAGTCACTTCTTGATGATCCATGTTAATAGGGAGGTAGTTTTAGGTTTTGCGGCATGATGATGCTCTGATCTCCTGAGAATTCTCATTTCTAATACAAAAAAATAATCTCACAATCATGTATCTGTATTTATTGCATTATTGAATTTGGCCTATTAAATAATGTCTAATGTGAACCAGAAAAAAACAACATTATCAATATAAATATTCTACTCATATATCTTACTTGAAAATATCTAGAACAATAATTTTTATGGGAAATCAAGAAAAATACTTTATTTATTATTCAATTTATCCTTATGTTAAAAAAGAAATTGAAAAGTGCTCACTTTAGCTCTTAAAAACCATTGAGTGCATTGTTGTGGATGCAGAGATCCTAAAACTAAATAAAAGAAAGACAATAAAAGTATAATGCACTGTAAAGGCTAAGGGAAAATTAAAACATTTACACTAATTTTTCTGGCCATCTTTAAAACCATTGAGTGCATTGTTGTGGATGCAGAGATCCTGAAACTAAATAGAAGAACGATAGTAAAAGACTAAGGCACTATAAAGGCTAAGGAAAGTTAAAATGCTTACACTAATTTTTCTGGCCATCTTGATTTTTAGACTCTCCCAAGTAAGTCCAATGAGAGCCAGGACCACACAGATGAAGTGGATGATGACGACGAAGATCATGTGGACAGCCAAGACTCCATCGACTCAAATGACTCAGATGACGATGGTCACACTGATGACCCTGACAATTCTGACGAGTCTCACCATTCTGATGAATCTGATGAACTGGTCACTGATTTTCCCACTGACTTTCCTGGAACCCCTTTTGCCACTCCAGCTGTCCCCACAATAGACACAAATGATGGCCGAGGTGATAGTGTGGCTTATGGACTGAGGTTAAAATCGAAGAAGTTACACAGATCTGTCGTCCAGGTAAGCCCTTTAACAGACATATCTGATGGTTATGATTAGAGCCCAATTCTATGAACCAGAATCTGCATATTCACTTATTCATTCATGCATTCATTCAGCATTATTATTACTTTATGACCATTGAATATGAGACTTTTTCCCTTGGTGTGTTTTTTTAAGTCCACATAATTCCTCTCTAATTTTGTCTCTCAATCACAATGCTATTTTTCCCCAAATTCTGGCGGTAAAGCATTTATCCTATTCACTTTTTTTTAGATTAAAAGGGGACTGAAAAACAGCAATTACTTGTACAATACAATGGTCACATTTTGAAGTTAAATACCTAAGAGGAATGGGAGAGTTGCAAATTACACTGAATCTATGGTTAAAAGATCTGGATTTGACACATAGCCATCATTTGCTTTATTTTTTAACTTTTAATTCACGTTTCTTTATGTAAAACAGAGATAAGGCGACTTACCTGATAGGTTTCATCACATATATCATTGATGCAACTATTACATCAAAGGAGATGACACATGAAAGGGCTTGGTGAAATATAAAGTAACATGCTAGTATTATTTTTTACTTCAACCAAATTTAGACAGTTTTCATTGGCCTAAAAGTTTGAGAGCAGGAAAGAATTACAATGTGCCTATTCCTGGCTGTCATTTAATTCTTCTTCCATTTGTGCTGTGATTCAGTATCCTGATGCTACAGAGGAAGACCTTACGTCACACATGGAAAGCGATGAGATGGATGATGCACACAGGGCCATCCTGGTAGCCCAGGGCCTGCCCGTGGCTTCTGATTGGGACAGCCAAGGGAAGGACAGCCAGGAAGCAAGTCAGCTGGATGACCACAGTGTGGAAACCCACAGCCGCGAGGCTGCCAAAGAATATAAGCTGAAGGCAATGGATGCAAGCAATGAGCATTCTGTTGGGATTGATAGTCAGGAAAATTCCAGAGTCAGCCATGAGTTCCACAGCCGAGAATTGCAGAGCCATGAAGACAAGCTGGCATCAGCCCCTCAGAGTGAGGAACAAGATAAACATCTCAAATTTCGCATTTCTCATGAATTAGAGAGTGCATCATCTGAGGTCAATTAAAAAACGAAAAATACAATTTTCTGCTTTTAGTTAAAAGGGAAAAATACATTATAACGAGGTGGGAGACAATATGAAATGCTTATTTCTCAGCTTAGGTGGTGAATGTATATGTACGTGAATCTGGAATAGATAATGTTTTTAATCAATAGTTTAGTGTGTGGCTCCATGTAACAACTTTGTAAACTAAAAGCTTCGATGTTCTCTCCATATAAGTAATGCAAATTAACACTGTATTTTAATGTTTGCTCTTCTTTTACAAATAGAAATTTATGTAGAAGCAAACAACATGCTTTTTGCAGAAGTAAACAAAATACTTTTACACAATTATAAGAGAACATAAAATTTAGTCACTATAATTGTTTGTTTTTCAAATTAGTGTACATTTTGTTGTGATTATTTTTGTTTACATGAATAAATCTTTTATCTCGAATGTAATGAGAGTTTGGTGATGTCAGTTGCTCTCCCTGTATTTGGTTTCCCACAGTTGCTCAACAATTAACAGATGTAACCATTTTAATGAATGTGCTGGACTTGGTAGAGAGCAATCTAGGAACTGCTGCATCAACTGTACAGGTTCTGGATTGAGCTAAGTTCCTACCCAAGGAAACAGGTGTCAAGTGGGGATGGATATTCAGCCAGAAATCTTCCAACCAGGCAGGGCTATTTACGCTGCTTCCACTGAGTGAAAGCAGAATTTTTTTAATTTTTACAAAGCTGATATAAAAGCTAACAAAAGCCCACTGGGGTGGGGGGACAGGGGCGGGCTGGAGAGGGTCAATGGGGGAAAAGAGGGGACATATATAATACTTTCAACAATAAAGATTTTTTAAAATATAAATAAATAAATAAATAAATAAATATACATTAATTAAATAAAAGCTAACAAAATTCCTAGATGCAATCACACATGAATTTTATTGTTTCTCATCACTCCATTAATTTGCTCAGTAATCCTATTGTTTTGGGGTCCTTGGTTGGAAACTTGGGTAGGTTCCATAGCTATTCTGATCACTCATAGAAAATAAATAGTGCCTTGCAATGGAAAAACTTTTAATGCAGTTTCAGGTAAAAATCAAATTTCTCAATTTCATTCAAAATGAAAAGTTTTGCAAACCTAAAGTGGAGCAAGCATCTTTATGTCCCTGTTTTACCCTCTGCTTTTTCTAAAACTAGAAATTCCATTTGGAACTTTAAAATTTTTCTATTAACCAACTCTCAGGACAAAAGGGGTGAATTTTAATTGTGTAAATTTCTAAAAAAAAAAAAAAGAATCATAATGGAAACATAAAATCAATAGAGTGATCACAGAAAATCCATAGCCTTAATTCTTGCAGCAGCAGCAACAACAACAAAAAGAATAAAAATCAATACATTAAGCTCCCATCTTAAAAAGCAGAAAAAACCAATGAAGTATAGCAGACATATAAGAAAAGAAAAATAAAGTTGAAAACAAAAAGAATGAGGTAGAGAACAGAAAAAAACAGTAGAAATTAATAAATCAAAACGCTGATTCTTTAAAAAGAAATCAACAAAATAGATAAGCCACTACCTAATCCAATAAAAGGAGAAAGGCAGAAATCACAAATATAAAAAACAAGGAGATACCCAATGAAACAGGAAATTTTAAAAATTGAGCCCGGCCGGCAGAGCTCAGTGGTTGAGTGTCAACCTATGTACCAGAAGGTCACAGTTCAATTCCCGGTAAGGGCATACACCTAGGTTATGGGCTCAATCCCCAGTGTGGGGCACGCAGAAGGCAGCCAGTCAGTGATTCTCTCTAATCATTGATGTTTCCATCTCTCTCTTTCTCTCCTTCTCCCTGCCTCTCTGAAATCAATAAAAATATTCTTTCAATACAATAAAAGTTAAAAGAGACTGCTTTGCACAATACAAAACAAATGAAAAATCTAAATAAATTGAATTATTTTCTAAAAAATACAATTTACCAAAATTGACCTTGCTACACATGAAAGCGCAGATATATTTCTGTAGAGGAAAGATAAAATATGATTTATAAAACTAACTATAAAAACTAGACCCAAATGATTTTACAAGGGAATTCTAGCCAACTTTCAATGACCAGATAATCCCAATACCATTTAAATTGTAGCAGAGAGGGAAAACTGTCAAATGATCTTCATGAAACAAGTGAAACTTTGACACTAAAACCTGGTGAATATTGCAAACACACACAAAATACTATAAAGCATTCTCACTCATGACTAGCAATAAGTAAGTATTGAATAGCCTGGCCAGTGTGGCACAATGGTTGAACATCAACCCATGAACCAGGTGGGCATGGTTCAACTCTCGGTCAGGGCATATCCCCAGGCTTCCCGCTCAACCCCCAGTAGGGGGTGTACAGGACGCAGCCCATCCATGTTTCCCTCTCCATTCCTCTCTGAAATCAATAAAAATATATTTTTTTAAAAATGCATAATATCCAAGGTGGGAGGAGTATTCTTAGACAATGATGCTTTAATATTAGTAAATTTACTCCTATAATTCACCATATAGTTAGAGTTAGATTAAGGAGAAAGATGTCCTTTGATTAGATCTACAGATTGTTAAAAAGGACTTTGTGTAAGTCAGCTATTACTGTGAAAATGAGTAACAAACATTCCCAATATCTCAGTGGATTATAACATCAAATATTTTTCTTTTTATCACTCATTAGTCTATGGGTAGCAGAGGTGGCTGTGCTTTAGACTGCAGGATGGATTCAGGTCTGCTCCATATGTCTCTCTAACTGGGACTAACTACCCAGGGCATGTCTTCCTGGTGGCAAAGGCACAAACATAAGAGAGATGTGTATTCTTAAATTCATAAAAATAAAATGAAAATTAAAGGATTCTTCCTTAGCATGATGAAATATTTTATATCTCAGCTTGTAAACCAGCATCATATTTAATGGAGAAACTTTAAAGGAATTCCCATTAAACTCAAGGACAAGACAAATCATAACTATTTACATATATGAGAACTGAGAAAGAATTAAATTATATTATGTAGATTATATAATACTACACCTAGAAAACAAAGTACAGTACTAAAAATAACAAGTAACAAGGTCTATAGGGTAGCATAATATGAAAGTTACCTAAAAACACAAAAAAATACAAGCAATAACCATTTAAAAGTCATAATGTCATTTAATCTAGAAATCAAAAAAGATAAAATACTTAATAGAAAATGTGCCAAAATTATATTAGAAAATGTGTGGGAAAACTCCTGTACTTTTCTCATATAGAACAATTCAACATCATAAAGATGGCAAGTCTCCCCAAGTAATATATAAATGTATTGTGATTCCAATGAAAATGAAAGTTTCACCTAGAGCTATACAAGGTAATTCTAAAGCTCATATGGAAAAATAAACATACAATAATATAAAGGAAATTTTTGAAAAATACAAGCAATAAGGAAGGACTAGCCCTAAGAAATATTAAATCAGACTATAGAGCATCTCTAATAAAAATAAAAAAATACTGTGTTACTGGCAAATGAATAGAGAGAGTAACGAGAATATAGGTTCAGAAATAGACCCAAGTACATGTGGAAATTGCTGGATGGCATTTAAGATCACGTGGGAAAAGATGGACTTTTAAATAAATGATGCTGACTGACTGGACATCCACTCAGGAAAAGATAAAATTGGATCCATAGCTCACATCATACATCTAAGTAATCTCCAAAGGAACTATAAAAATATTAAACAAATACATGAGGGAGTTAACCAGGATGTGGGGAAGGTTTTCTACGAGGAGACTCAACCTATATCACCTGCTATAGACTAAAATTCATAAGTTAAAGTCTAACGCCCAATGCGAGGGGATTTGGAGGTAGGGCCTTGGGGAAGTGATTAGATCATGAGGGTGGAGTGCTCATGAATAGGATTAATGTCCTTATAAGAGAGGCCCCTAGAGCTCCCGCGCCCCTTCCACCATGGGAGGACACAGTAAGAAGATGGCCATCTATGAACCAAAGAGTAGGCCCTCACCAAACGCCTAATCTCCTGATGCCTTGAACTATGAGAAGTAAATACTTCTCATTTATAAGGCACCCAGTCTTTTGGTATTTGTGTTATAGTAGCCGGAACAGATAAGACAACACCATCCTTGTAGCCCTCATTAGTCAAGAGCAGTGACCCCTTGGGTTCCCCATGTACTTGCTTCAATTGGCACCTCATCACAACCAACCACAGGTAACCGCTTCATTAACTAACTGTCTTTTCCCTGCATGCCAGGAAATACAACATCCCATTTCCCATTGGCAAGTGGCTCAGCACTGTGCTCAAGTCCAAAGGCATGACCCAGTTAATCCAGAAACTGTATGTTTGAGTGGTGGTACCATTCAAAGACCACTCCCTGTACTCTCTCAGTCGGGCTTCACTTAGAAGAGGGGACACACCCCAGTAATCTGAATAAGGAAAATTTAACATGAAGAATTATTAACAAACAGCAAGTTGCCGAAACCGGTTTGGCTCAGTGGATAGAGCGTCGGCCTGCGGACTGAAAGGTCCCAGGTTCGATTCCGGTCAAGGGCATGTACCTGGGTTGCGGGCACATCCCCAGTGGGAGATGTGCAGGAGGCGGCTGATCGATGTTTCTCTCTCATCGATGTTTCTAACTCTCTATCTCTATCTCTCTCCCTTCCTCTCTGTAAAAAATCAATAAAATATATTTAAAAAAAAAAAAACAGCAAGTTAACCAGAGGAGATAAAAGGGAACCTTAATATTGTTGGACAGAGTACCCGCATAAGGAAGAATTTGGATGTTGAATTAAGTCTCCCCAAAGCTAAGACTTAAACTTCACTAGCGAGGGTGTAGCTGCAGCCCAGAGGATGGCAGAGAAGTTTGCTGTTATCCTGGGTGGGAGCTGGTCCATCGCCGGTGGGTTGAAGTTGGCAAACAGGTCACTTCCCACAGGAGCGCCAGTAGACTGAGGCTGGCAAGCAGGAAACCGTGGGCCTTGACTGCTGAGCAGGAAACTGCCTGCCAGGTGCCAGCAAAACTAGCCAGAGAGTGAGCGCCACTGA